CCTCCTCCTCCTCCTCTCTCTCCCTCTCCCTGCCCTGTCCCCTCTGCCTGTATGGTCACGAGGGATCTGCAGTGACCTCCTGTCCGCTTGGCACTGTCTCTCCCTCTGCTCGTCTGACCTCTGCTCTTCCAGCAGCACCTGGCCTTGAGGAGTCTCTGGAATGACTTGGCCAAGGAGCTCTGAACTTCCTTCCTGTGCTGCGCTTTTCAAACGCAGTTGTTCAGCGCAGAGGCACGCCGCTGTGTCCCGTGGGGATTCCGTCGTGTCCTGTGAGCTCTGGCTGTGTGTTGGCACCATGAATTGAATGTAAAAATCAATAAACCGGGTGGAGGTATTGTGTTGGACTGGAGCAGATCTTGGCGGTTCTTTTCATTATTGCATACTTGTCAGCCAACAATTTAATCTAAAGGTGATCGGTCAGATGATTAAATATGAATATTTTTCAATGCACTTTCAATGCAAAATCATTTCAACCAGGAGAGTGATACAGTAGAGACATATATGAAAAATTGCTGTATATAGTCCCTATTACCTGTAAAGCGCTTTGAGTGGAGTGTGCAGAAAAGCACTATATAAGTGTAAGCAATTATTAGTATTATTATTCTGTTTTATATATGCACGCTGTAGTGGTCATTAATGTTATGCAGACCTGTTGCCACAAGAGGGCGCCCTTCTTTTTGTTTCCCCACCTTGTTCTTCGGTTTCAGCCCTGGTTTCTACTTCAGCTTCTTGCTTTGAGAATTGGAGGATTAACCTACAGTGTCCTTGCGTAGTATGTCTGCGTGCGTGTGGCCTTGTGGGCGTCCCTGTCATCGCTGAGGGGGGACGGGGGGGGCCAGCAGACAATAAACTGTCGGTTTCTCTTTCTCTTGTGTTTCAGCTGTTTGAGTCCCAGACCCCTGCTGAGAGTCCTGCTCCCCTGCTCTGAGCTCCGGAGGAGGGAGGAGGGAGGAGGGAGGGGGCAGTTGTAATCACACAGTTACCTGTCTTAGGTGGGGGCGGCTGCGTGGCACAGCAGCACGCCTGGGATTGACTGCAGAATGTGTTTATATAAATAAAAGAGGAAACAGAGCTATTTTCTATCACAAAACCAGAGTTGCAGTCTTTTCATTTGTGCTGAACTGATTCACGTCCTAGTGCCGGTTGCTCATTTTAAAAGGGCGTGCAGATGGGGAGAGTTCTCAGCACATAGCCGTGTGCTCGATGTGCTTGGGGTGGAGGGGGGCTGTCTTCTGGGCAGTGTACCCCCCCCTCAGGAGGAGGAAAGCAGTTACACTGAAGGTGTGTGTGTATAAACACGTAGCAGCAGGTCTCAGCCACACTCGGGACCCGGTGTCCTGATGCTGTCAGTCTGTTGTATAATGATGAGACCTTACACAAAGGACCTGAGCGGGTAGACGTACGGTGAGATAAACAGGTCAGGTGCTTGAACAGGTGACGCTGAGCGACGGGCAGTACGGCTCAAGCCCAAAACACACCTCTTGAATATTTCCACAGGCCGGGCGGGGCCGTAGAGGACGTGGCCTCAGGGGAGGTGCACACGGACGGGTAAGCGGAGAGGGTTCAGGGTGCTTGTAGATGTGGGTGTGAGGCCGCCGGTTCCTGAACCTGCAGTCGCTCACCAGGTCTTGACCCCCTGTTGCTATGGAGCGTCGCCTAGATACGGTGTTGTTTTTGTGACGTCCCAGAAAGGCGCCGGAAAAGGCGCTGTTGCGCAGAGACGGAGGACAAACGGACTGAGACACGGGGTTAATGTGGGAACTGCTAATCATCACTTAATCAGGTAATTAATAAGGTAACTGATTAAATCTCATTGACAATGTGGCTTCAGGGCGAGTACCGCTGTGTTCCAATGATCGCTTACTGGAGAAAAGCGAGTGAAGGAGAGTAGACGTGCCCCAGCCCGGGGGGTCCGGGCGGCACTCCTGCTGAGCACTTCCGCCTTCTGTGTTTATATTCGCAGTCTGCGGTTTCCCCGGGGCAACGGGCAGCAGCCTGGGCCGCAGCGGTCCCGGAGAGAGCGGGGAGGAAGCGGGGGTGGACCTCTCAGTAAAAACCGGATTAAATTGGAGAAAGATGCTGCTGTTGCAGGTGTAAGGATGAATCTCGCTGGATTAGTCAGCTCAAAGCCGATCCTGTGTTTGTTACCGCTGCGCGCTGCAGTTTCCGGGGCTGAGTAATCGGCTTAGCGCCTGGGCTGCCCGCCCTGCTGCCTCCCGGGCTTCGGCGCTTTCTCGAACACCTTTTTTTATTTATGCTTAACAGAATAACAAACATTACAATACAGACAAGAGTACATATAACAATCCAAGACGAAAAGATCGTCAGGGGTACATATCACTACATACATTCAAGTTAGGAAAAAAGATTAAACAAATTGAATAAAAGTCATGTCCGCACCGCTTTCATATTTTTGCACTTCGAAATAGTCTGCAAACACCCCCTTCGATCCATTTTAAAATGCTCAAACACAGAGGTCTTCCCAGACCACTTCATTTTATGTATATAGTAACGTGCCATTATAATAATAAAATTTATTACAAACGAAATTGTAATATTGTTTTCGATGGGGCTGAAACTTAACATAACATCGTTTTCATCAAAACAAATATCAATATTGGTTTCTTTTTTAATATAAGTCTGCAACTTAGTCCAGAAAATGTTTACCCTGGGACATAACCAAAACAAATGCTGAATAGTTTCAGGGCTACTGTCACAAAAAACACATTTGTCATCTATATTAATTTTAAAACGCTGGGTAACAAGAGTCTTAACTGGGTAAATTCAATGAATTATTTGTATGAAACCTCCTTAACCTTATTGGTTATACAATATTTATTGGGCATCATCCACATTTTTCTCCAATCAATGCGTTTTCCAAATGAGGAATTCCAATATATTGTAACCGCAAGTAAATTATCATTTTTCAACAGGGTTAATATTTCCCCAGAAATCGCGTTAATTACAGTGAAATACTGATCAAAAGTAATATAAATATTGTATCTATTAACAAACTCGGTGTAACTGTATATTTCACCATTAGCTTTGATTAATTGTTTAATCCAAACTATACCATTCTTTACCCAATTTTCAAAAAATAAGGTTTTATTTCTAACTTTTATATATCTATTGTTCCAAATAGTAAATCCATGAGGGGTAAAATTGTGTTTATACATAAGTGACCACGTTAGAGGTACTACTTTCTCGAACACCTCGCTGTTCCCGAAATCACCGACACTTCGGGTCTTTCCTTCGCCCGGCCCCTGCGCGGATGACGCCACGGGGTGGGTTTTCCGAATGCCATGCGCGTTGCGTCACGGGTCGGGGCTTTCCTCTGTGACGTCAGCGCGAGAAAGCGAAAGGGTGCGAGCAGTGCCGAGCTGTGTCTGGCGGTGGGCAGGCAAGGGGCTCAGCCCGCACAGTTAGCGAAGGGCTATTCGGTCACTTGTGAGTTCACTCTTGAGACGTCCCCGCCAGCGAGAGGAGGAGGGGAATTTGCTCTAGAGGGAGCGAGCTGAAGGACGATACAGCGCCCGGGGCCGGTTGGTTTGGTCTGCGCCCTGCCGAGCCGAGGGAGGGAACAGCGCCTCTCCGAGAAGCAGCCTCCCATTTCACCCGGGGACAGAGGTACGGGGTCCGAGGGCCGGGGGTGCTGCTGTGTCCTCCAGCGGCTCGTTGTGGGCTGATCTGGGGCCCAGCTCGCTCGCCGCCGGGCTGCCGAGGGCGATACGCGGCGTTGCGCTGTGATCGGTGAGCAGCGGCGGCCGGCCCGCCCGGGCACAGCCTGGCACGGCCTGGCACAGCCTGGCACGGCCTGGCACAGCCTGCACGCACGGCCTCTCCGGCGGCTCCGGGTTCTCCCCTCCCCCGGACCCGTCAGACGGGCTGACGCGTTCACTCAGTCAGAGGGGAAAACTCCCGGGTGAGGAGTGTACTGTAGCTGACTGGCGTGTTGTAGGCAGCTGAGAGAAGGTGGGATCGAGTGAGGGCCTGGTCTCTCCACGCGTTCCCAGCGCTGATTGTTTTTGAGTGCACAGGGCTGCCAGTGTGATCCAGTGTCACTGTCTGTCTGTCCTGCTGGACCCCGCTTTGTTCAGGGTGTGCGAATACCTGTCTGTGTCCTGTATCGGTGTGCCAGTACAGTGTCTCTCTGGTGCCAGTACAGTGTCTGTACAGTGTCTCTCTGGTGTCAGACAGTGCCAGTGTGCCAGTACAGTGTCTCTCTGGTGCCAGTACAGTGCCAGTGTGGCAGTACAGTGTCTGTACAGTGTCTGTCTGGTGCCAGTCCAGTGCCAGTGTGGCAGTACAGTGTCTGT